ATCCCATAATGTATGAAATAGATTTTTGGCCAGTTAACAGTATCTACTGAGGTCACAGGCAGTTTAGGAGACAGGCGCTACCGTATTACCTCTGAGTACCTCTGGTTCTCAGGGACAGGGCTTGCCTAAATAGGACCAAATTACAACATGCCAAGGAGTTTCTAGGTAACAATCACAGCTAAGAAGCTTCTTTCTTGTTGACAGTATAAGTGTAAAGTTATTACCTTTATTTTTTTAAGACTAGTTTTATTGCTGTTTTAAATTTTCAACTAATTTATTCAGAAGCATATATTATTATTTCAAGCACATTCAATCATGGCTCACAATAAATAAAAGCTTTAGCCCAGAATGATATTCATGCAATTGGAACATACGTAAACAGGTGGCAGACCTTTTTTCAAGGGCCTTTCACTAGCATCTTTTATAGATTTGATCAAGAGCCCTCTCTAATCTACTTCAACAGGGATTCACCTCTCAGTCAATTTCATGCATTTGAAACACTCCACGTAAAGATGTCAAAAGATGCTGTGAAGCTGAAAGCCATCTTCACACAGACACATTACACAGAAAGTCAGGAGGAAGAAACCTTCACTATTGTTCTAACATTAGAAACCTTCTTATACTGTAAGTGCTGAGAAGAAATTTATGGAACTGGACAGAAAATCAGTTCTTTATTCCCACAATCATAAATACCCCTAACTTGGAACAAATGTTAATAACTGACTTTTCCATTTAACTTCCTTGCTGAGGGTATAGAAGTCACTAGTGTCAAAGAGTTTAAAATAGCTGAACTTGCAATTGTCTCAAGACATCTCTCTTCCTCCCCCTTCCCTCTGTGTCTTCTTCCTCCCCATCTGATGTCATTGAAAAGGAGATATTTTAATACCCTGGTTAATAAATTTTCAATTCTAATATCAAACAGGGATTAAAAAAAGAAAAAAGGACCATCTTATTGGCCAACTCACTAAGTTTAGCATCTTCACTTAAGCTAAGAAAAAATAAACTGACTAAGTCAGAGCAACCTAGTATCCTCAAACCTGACCACAAATTGGCAACTGCAACAAGGGAAGGGAGGAGGAAAGAAAAGTAGTTTTCAAAGGATAAGGGCGCTTTGAAAGTATGTAGGTATAAGCAGTTTAGCAAAGATATAGGGTACAAAGAAAGTATCAAGTCACAACCTTATGTACTTGTAGGGGGCACATATAATTTATTTGGTGTTCTTATAGAGACTGCTGAACAGTGTTCTGGCCGTATTATGATGATATACATTTTTTAAATACTCTGGGTGCTAATAACTTAATAATAACTAGTAAATGTAAAGCAAGAAATATTTGTAAAGAAATTGACTAGGATTCAAAATCTTGCATGTCATCTCTGGGTGTGTATCTGCAATGAGCCAAAGACACTTGCCTTTCAGTCAGGAAAGAAAGTAGGCTTCGCTCACACTTTTTCCAGGTGTCAGGTTTAAAATAGACTACACCGTCATCCTGTGTAGAGCTTCTTTTAGACTAAGCTGCTGTTACGGATTAGGGACCACAATTTTCAGAGTTAGGAGAAGTAACTCAGAGTCCTGATCCTTTTATTTTATCCTCAGTCTTAGGAGAACATCAAGGACACAGATAAGGAGGAAAACAGTTGTCATGCAACAGGCCCATCATGTTATTCCTCAGAAGCAAATAGACAAACAGGATGACATGCAAATGCAGGCCCATAATACAGATTCCCTAACTTTCACTCTTGGGAAAGTATAAGCTAAAGCTGAACTCCATACCCTGCCCAAAGAGAGATCTTCTTAAGCGACCTTCTACCTTTTTTATTGCCATCTCATAATTGGATGATGACTCTACCTGAATCCTAAAGCTAGGTTTGATACCTGGTTAACAGATCTACCTTAGATTTGGGGTAATAGCATGAACTTGGGTTTTAATTTTGCTCACAGATATTGTTTACCAGTGTAGTAATTTATTTAATGATAATGTTTTATTATACTCTGAAATGATGTTATTAACTTGTTTATTTCCAGTCTCCTCCAAAAACATAAGCTCCCACCCAGAGGGCAGGAACCCTGTCAATCTTGTTCACTATTCTATCCACATCTGATACATGGGAGGTACTCAGGAAGTATCTGTTGAATAAATAAATAGCAGAAGAGATATTCAGAAAGCACAGAATTTTATAATTTCTTAGGATCATCATGTACTATATATGCACAAGGGTACACATTAATAAAGCTCTGATTAACTAATTGCTATGTAACAGAACTATTTGCTTTCATTTTAGCCAGTTGAATATTGACTGAGCACCTGATTTGCACTCTGAACTCAGCTGTCTAAACAGACAATGAGCTATCTGAATAATAATCTCTTTCTCATGATGAGATTCTGGTCCCCACCTGTAAAAGAAGATGTCAAAAGTAAAGCTTTCCAGGGTCCTCCCTGGTGGCACAGCAGGTTAAAGTGCAGCACTAAGAAGCTAAGGCCACTTCAGCATGAGTTCGATCCCTAGGCCCGAAGGTGATCCACATGCACAGCAGACCTCTCCTGACCTGCCCGCTGCTCCCCTCAGCATGTACTTCATCGATCTGCCTATTCTGCTCCCCATTCTGTCTCTGGTGAAGCCTCTCACCACCCCTACACCTCTGGCCTATACCCCAGTTCGGTATGCATAAATAAATAAATCTTTTAAAAAAAAAAAAATCTAAAGCTTTCCAGCTCACTTTAATCATTGGCAGAGAGCACAGAAATCCTATTTTGAGGTTACAGATGGAGCCACTGAGCTACAAAATCAAGAAGCAAGTTTTGGGGTATCAAAGACAACCCTCAGTATCAATCTCCCCATTGAATAATTTTCCAAGGGAAATATTTGTGAGAAAATAGCCCTAAAATGTATTCAAAGACAATAACCAAGGGATCAAACTTGGCATCCCTAACAGACAGCCAGACATTTTAAATCTCCTGATGTATCCACATCAACTTTGACATTGTCTTACTGAAAATGTTCAATTTGAAGCAATCAAGCCTTTAGTTATAACTTCCATTTATAAGAAAACCTGGGGTAGAGATACAAGAAAAATATTATAAGAAAACAATCACAAATCTTGAATGTTAGAGAAACAGACCTGGTCTTTTTAACACATGTATGTCAGAGAGAAAGAAGGACGTGCAAGTATTGGGGTACAAGGGGAGCAGGAGGGGCGGAGAGAGAGTCTCGGTGTAATATATGGTTCTTTACTTGAGCCTGGCCTGAAAATAAAACTGTAAAAGACATACATGAAACAATTAAGGAAGCCTGAACTACAGAGTGGATAGCAGATGATATTAGGATGTTATGATGGTTTCTGTAAGTGAAATCATGGCATTGTGGGTATGGAATAAAGTATTCTAGTTTTTCTGAGACATATGGTGAACATTCAGGATGAAAAGTCAGGATGTCTGTCATTTACATTACAGTGGTTCAGCAAAAGAAACCAAAGATGAAGCAAATATGTTAACAAACGTTAACTGCTGAAGAAGTGTGGGTATATGTGTATCCACTGCACTGTCTTTTGATTTTTCTGTATGCTTGAACATTTTGTTTTTAATGTTCAGAGGTAGCAACTTCTCAGGAACTTCCTTCACAGCACTGAGGGCTCCTAATTAAAATAAAATTTTTATTATCTCCACAAACCATCCTCCATCAGCAACTTAAGTCATCACAGACAAAAGCGGTTATAATGACACGTATCACAGGTAGGGATCATTTTTGTTCTTAAACCAGTTTTCCAAATTCCCTTTTTGGAAAAGACTTTTCAGTTTACCTTTTAAAATGAAAGATCCAAAAACTGGCTTATTTGCCTCGAGCTGTTCCCTTTTAATTGACAGAAAACCTCTCTACACACACCTCATGCAAACCTACTTCAGCTTTTCCTTCCTAAAACTAGCTTTTGTCTCTGAACTTTACAGAACAGTTGGAGCTCTTTAATGTTTTCTAAGAGAAATATTTCAAACAAGTAGCCCCGCAATTTATTCACTACTGCCAAGAATAAAGTAACAGGTTTCACCGCCAAGGCCTTCCGAGGCGCTACAGCACTTTTAAGGCAAAGCATCACGCATTCACCTGCAGCTTTGCTCCGTGAATGCATCTGTCATTTGTTTGGCTCTGGAGGAAACTATTTGATTACACAAAATTCTTTTTAGATCAAATTTTAAATCTTAGCCACACTGGGACAAGAAGTACAACCCGCCAGCTCGATGGGTTAACACTTGGACACACTGAGCCACAGACAAAGATAAGGAACAACCACAGGTTAAAATCAGAGGCTTGAAGAACTGAAAGGAATGAACGTAAAAGATGCAAGGCTTGGCTGGGCCTTTCTAAGTGCTCCGTTTGCCACTACTGCATACAAGATGATTTATTCCCTGCACGTCTCGTAAATGAGTGCGATGCCCTGAAGGAGGCTGGTGAGCAGTGGTGAACGCAAGCACCACGCGGACCGGCTGCATCCATTCACTGCTGTGCCAGCTCTGCATTCTGAAGTTGGCAAGTAACCAGGCGTCTTTATGTCCCTCATCTCCCATACCTTATTACAGGGCACATCATTTTTAAAAGCATTTAAATGAAACCAATGTTAACCCCATTCATTCCACTTTACCAGGGAACATGTCAACGATGATTTTGAAAACGCGAAAGAAAATGTCAAAGTATTTTGTTCCCTAGTTAAGAACACATCTGTGAAATAGGAGGGAGGAAATACATAAAATACTGTATGGTCATTCAAGAAATAATTATAAGGTATGTCAAACTACAGAAAATTGAGCAAGCACTAAATTAAAAAAAAAAAAAAGATGCCTTATGTCAAAATGGCTTTTTCACTCAATTCATTTCAAAACAAGTTGAAAAATTAAATTCCATCCACAGCTCAGAGAACAGAGCACATTAAGGCTTGCCTGTGGTGCCACTATCCTTGTGCAGCTCACTCCCTTTTCCACAACTACATTAATCGACAAGGACGCCTGGCTCACCTCCCATAGTGCCTTGAAGTCCTTCTGCTCAATGCGGAGCAACTCGCTGCTCTCCCTGGTAACGATGGTCGCATGGCGGGGTGTGTTGTCCAGAATGGACTCTCCAAAGGCTGTCCCAATTCCCAGGGTACAGATGGTCACTGCATCCTGAGAAGCAAAAAAAAAAAAAAAAAAAAGCTGGGCCTTAGAAAATTAAAAGATGGCCCTCCCTGGTGGCACAACGGGCTAGGCTCAGCACTGAAAGGTGCTTGCAGCCGCTTCAGGGCAAGTTCATCCCCCATGCGAGGTGACCCACATGGCACCGCAGACTTCTCCCTGCCTGCCTGCGGCTCCCCTCAGCAGTGTACTTCGTTGATCCACCTGTTCTGCTCCCCACTCTGTCTCTGGTGAATCCTCTCACCGCCCCTGCGCCTCTGACCTGTACCCCAGTTCTGTATGCATAAGTAAATAAATCTTTAAAAAAAGAATTTTTTAAAAAAGAAAATTTAAATTTAAAGAACAGGCGAGTTTTCTTTGAACTGAACTCTAACTTGTGCTCCATTTAAGGACACAGCTCAACAAGTTTTGCCAGATATGTCCACCCATGTAATCCCCACCCAAATGAAGACACAGAGTATCACCTGGAAAGTTCCTTGGTGCCTCCTTTCCAGTTCAAGGTTCTCCTTTAAGAGGTAACTGATATTTTGATTTCTATCACCATACAAGTTTTACTGGGTCCAGAACTCTGTATAAAATGAGTCAGATATATGTCCTCTTTGGTGTCTGGCCTCTTTTACTCAATGTCACGTCTACAGAATTGATCCACATTATTGCACGGAGGAACAGTTTTACCTTTGACTGCATGAATATGCCAGAGGATAAGTTGGCTTATCCATTCTCTTGTCAGTAGGCCTTTGGACAGTTTCTGGTGTGGAGATATCATGAATAAAGTTGCTAACCGTAAACGTGTGCAAGTCTTTATGAAACAGAGTTTTTTGTATAGGGAGAGGATGCAGGTACCAAATTGAAACAGAAACTAGAATAGGGCTGCTGTTATGTCTGTCCTGAAGAGATGAGGAAACTGAGGGTCCTGACACAGCCCTAGATCCCAGGAAGTCCTGTAGCCAGACTCCAACCAGACCTGCCTGACTGCAGATTCCAAACTCTCTGGACCATGCTGCCTCCTGCAGCCTCAATAGAGTAAAAACAAGCTTCCAATTACATGCAGCATGGCTAGTTTATAAAAGGTTGTGAATCAATGATTTAAAAGTTTCTCAAGGTGCACTAAAAAGTAATTTCCTTTCCAAGTATTATCACATTGGTGATAATATTTGGATTTAATCCTATCTGTTTTCAAATGATGCAAAACTGCCACTTGAAATCACCTGGGTATTAATTTTGCAAAGCATTATCAACTAAAGGACATTATCAACTAAAGGCTAGTCCTCTGAGTTAAAAAGCAGTTTTCCTTTCATGCATCTAATATACAATAATAGGCAAATGTTATTAAGATCAAGTTAGGGACGCTGTAATCACATTACTAAGATAAATGCCCATAAGAATCCAGTTCCTTGAACCATAGTAAATTGCTTCTGGAGTTATTACCACATAAAATTATGTTTAGGAAAATAAAATCAATAATATCTCAAAAAAAGAATGAAAAATCAGAGGAAATTTTAAGAATAGCCTGCTAATAAATTTTCCAGAAAGGGAATTGCAAATAAATAAATAATATATCCAGTCTGAAAAATATCCCCCAAACTGAAATAGTAATAGTAAGCGAATCAGGAACCTCTGAGTAACTTTGAAATTCCAATAAAAACACTGTGGATTATGATTATTTATAGACTCTCACAAATTCTCTAGAACATCAGGTTCCTTTGAGGGTCTCACTAACCTACTTTAAGATTCCATTACCTGAATATTTCAGAATAATTGTTTTGGTCTTACGTGTACTTTCCAATGTAAAAGTCTACTTTAAAACTTGAGAAGGATACATAATAAATCTTCCTGGACCACTAACCATGGACTTTAAATACCTGGGGTTATCAGCAAAGTATTCTGCAAAAGAACAAGACATGTGTTCAGGAGCTAGTTGTATACTTTTTATTCTCCTTTCTCACCTCCTATCCCTGAGGCAAGCAGTTTGTCATCAGAAAGTACACAAGACAAGGACTGTGAAAGCCCCATAAGCCCACCTTCTTGCTAGTGAACAATTCTTGTAATAATGACCAAGAATGGGGTTATTCTTGAATTGCCCCTGGAGAGTTGAATATGAATCAAAATTTACAAAATCTGGTTAGCAATGCCAGCTGCACTTCTCAGCACAGGGAGTGACAAATATGATCCTGAAATTAGAGCTGTAAAACCTCACCTGAAAGGAGTACCACTTGCAAGTTCAAACTTTACTTTCCGCAGACCCAGAGTAAATTTAAGATAGACTAACCTAGAAATCTGAAGGACTGGGGAAGTATAGATTGAGCAGTGGGGTGACTGGATATAGGGAAGAAATTCCCAAGAATACTTTCACTCCAAAGATTAATCACTATCTTTATAGTTCACGGGTGCTGGGGCTTATTTACATTTAAATTCCAGGCAGGACCTTGCAATGTGCTTAGAAAATAATGATCAAATAGAAAAATTTACATTTAAATATTCTCTTAGCAGAACCAATACAGGCTGCTCAGTGTTCGTGTTGAAAGGCAGGGTACCTGTGAGCAGGGTGGACGTGAGCCAATGTGGTACAAGCACTCTGATTTTCTTGCACACTCACCTCTCACCCAATTCCTCTTGGTCAGAATTCCGAGTCTGAAATCCTGTTAATAGGCTTAAGGTGTGCATTTGTTTGCCTGTGGTTAAAGGGTCTGTTTCTGAATATAACGCTTTATATTCATACCTCACTTGGCTCATGCATGCCCTAGAGATCTGCTCATGTTTCAATATCTATTTAATTGGGATTATCAACTATTTATTTTTGTAGATTAATGTTCAAAAAGACCACCTGAAAGAAAATATTGACAGTGATACAGAGACTAAGGAAGTCAATCAGCACACTCTCAAGGAGTGTGCCTTTACAACAGTGAAGGAATAAATAGCCTTTTTTTGAGGTAAGATGGCACTTCATTTTGAGGAGTTTCAAATAAAAAGTGAAAATGTCAAAATCTGAATGTCTTCAATGGCTGAAGGTGAGTTTAGCAGATGCTGCTGGAGTTCTGCCAGATTCCCCAAGCCCCACTCCGAAGACCAGCATAGCTCTCTGGAGAGTTTCCATGTACACCTGTGGCTTCCTCCCTCAGGCACCTGCAAGGCTTCCCCTGAGGGCACTTAACACCTTCAAGGTGCAACTTCCATCAAAGCAGCATGAGAGCAGACGGAGAAAGACCTGGGCTTCCTAACCCTACTGCTCCTCAGAGTTCCCTGACAGAATGAGCTCAGTTGCCCACAGAGGAAAGCCTCCTATCAACGCAATTTTATTTCATTCCTTCCTTGCCTCACTATCTTGCTCCCTTACAACACTTCCCCTGCCATGTCCAAAAGTGGTGCTGGCAGCCAAATCCTTGCCTGCAGAGGGGCATTGGAGACACGCGGACAGAGAGTGGGTTAGCCGAGCACAGCTGTGAGTCTGAGTTACACTGAGCCTCTAGGCCAACTCTCATTCCCAAAGAGACTCTGTAATAGGGATAGAGACCATCTTACCACTTACCACCTCAAACTGCACATTACTAGTGCAATATCCCTTTGGGACACATGGGAAAACTTCGTTGTGTCAGTAAGGCACCCTGAGAGAGAGAGCACACCTTTGACATGTCATCTGGTTTCTCCCTGGTTTCATCTGCTCCAGCTCCCCTCATCACCCCTTCCCTTACCTTCTCACACACTCGACCACCTGATGAGCACGAGGGTGCCGACCCTTCTGTGTATCAGTATGCGTGTGGCTCTCCACGTGTGTGAGTGGAGTGCCACATGCCAGGCACTGGACCAAGTATCTGGGCCAGGATGCCTCCTTCATGCCTCACGATAGTTAAATGAGACAATATAGTTAAGCTACTTTGCTTAGTGCCCAACTCAACAGAAACATTTAATTAACTATGAATAGATTTCCCCTGCTATCCAAAAGTAGAACAATTTTATGAAATTTTATTTGTAAACAAAAAAAAATGAAATCAAAGAGACAATTACTATGTATTTACACGGAAAAAAATTAATTTTCAGGCTCAAAAAATAACCTGCCAGAGTCTCCCTAGTGGCACAAGGGGTTAAGTCTCAGCACTAGGAAGCTAGTCACAACCACTGCAGCATGAGTGGGATCCAGGCCAGGGAGGTGACCCAATGGTGCACAGGCCTCTCCTGTCTCACCTGCTGCTCCCCTCAGCAATGTATTTCAGTAGATGCACCTGTTCTGCTCCCCACTTTGTCTCTGGTGAATCCACTCATCTTCCCAGCTGTTGTATGCATAAATAAACCAATCATAAAAAAATAACCTGCCAAATCATTCCAAGTAAGATATAAAACCTGAAACAATACATGCACATGTAAATGCAGGAATGACATGACACTCACAGCCTGAATAAAGCAGTTCTCAGGGATGATGCTTAGGGCTGCTGCTCTTGTTGAACCGTGAGCAAGGAGCCTTTATAGTGACTGCAGCAATAGAAACAAAACTAAGGCTGTTCTCACTTTTTGTCTTCTGTCATGAAAGCAAAACTCCTCTTCATATTTTTTTTCAGTTAGTGAAAACAGGTACTATTGGCAGTGTCTCCTGTAAGTGAACTTATAGTGTGAACTTTCTAAAAGCAGTGACACCTATATTCTTGTTGACTGTAGTATGAAAGACAATCCTGCAACATCAGTACAATTGCTGTTTTAGGGGTTAAGGAAAATGAGGCTCAAAACTGTTCAGTAATTTTCCCAAGAACATGACTTGTAATGGAATAGTTGAGAGTAGAAACTACTTAAAATTACCACTCCAAATACTTCTTAAACTGTCATATGAAATTTAAGTACCTCTTGCTGAGACTCAATAGGAAAATTGATTAAAGTGTTAATTAAATCCATATAGCTTCTTTTCTCAATCAACCAATCTATAGATTTGCTGGATACCTGAGTCCAAATGGCCAGGAAAATAAAAAAAAATCTAGCATTGCTCTCTTTAGCCCTCTGATTCCAAT